AGGTTATCCTATTCTTGAATATGAATTGCGTAAATTTTTAAACAGGTATTATATCATGCGTTCAATTACTTATTATATATCATAGTTCATAATTAACATATATTGTTTAATCTTCTTTTAAAATTGAATGGTGTGATATGTGTTTTGAATAGGTAATCTCTCAATCCTCAAGTATTTGTAGCATTTATTAATTTAGTTGTTGGTTTTTATGTGGTTTTTTTTATTATATTTTAAAACCCTTTCGTTCATATTTTAATATACTACATACAATAGTTCGCGCGTAATTTAAATTCATGCTAGTTCCCGCGCTTTACTGTCAATTATTGCCATCATTTCTTCATAGTTTGTTTCACAAATTGAATTGTAAAAATTTTAAAAAGATATTCTGTTTACCGTTGTGTTTTTATTAGTTGTTGCATTTATTAAGGAGATATGATTTGCATAGAATTTAGAAAAGGTATTATTTGTTGTGCAGTACGCTTTGTTATTTGTTAAACGTACTTAATTAAACATTTAATTGCACAAACGTTTGAGTAAGTAATATTTGCGGCATGCACTTCATTATTACTTGTTGCATTAATATTACGGGGTACGATTTTAACGTATGTTACTTGTCTAATTAATTTTTTTTTCGTACGATAATTTACATTTGTAGGTCTTTTGGAGATATAATTGAGGCATTACACATGCAAGAAGTTGGCGAGGATGAACAACCTCTATATGCAAGGCTTGTGGTGCGCGATGCAAGGGCAATGGAAACTGTTCTTAGTGATGTAGGAAAATCAAAGTTCACAATCAATGGAAAGCATGTTTGGGCGAGGAAGTATGTGCGCAAGAGTCCTCATTCAACACAATACTTGCCAATCAACAAGGCCAATTAGATTCAAGTCAAATTAACTACAATAAAAAAAAAAAAAAAAAAAAAAAAAAAAAAAAGTATGTTCTCAACTCTTTATGCTAGGCCATGTTTTCGTTTCTTTCAAAGATTGTTGCATGTGTTCTTGTTCAACGAAAATTTTTAAGTTATGTATTTGATTTGAAAATTTGTTTCTCTCTATATCATACACACATATAACCAGTTTTAAACCCATCCTATGTCACGTCTATTTTCATAATATCTATAAATTCATTATTGTTTTAAGTGTAGGGGCAGAGTTATTATGTTCAAATTGTACGAGTCAATTAATCTCACCTGATATATTTAGATAGCATTATACACATCATTGTAATTAAGTGCATGACCTTTTTCTTTATCACTACAAACTTTAAGTTAAAGGTTGTTAAAGGCAACAAAGAGTGCAATACTTCATGAAATTGAAGAAGGCGGCATAACATCAAAGAAAATAGTGAGGATTAACAATACTCTTTTTTTCTTTTTTTCTTTTTTTTTTTTTTTTCTTTGAGGGGAGGACTAAGAGTGCTTTATTCGGGTTTTAGTGGATTAAGATTGAGGTTGCACGTCCGAAAAAAAGACTAGTGTGTCTTTTTTTTCTTTTTTTCTTTTGTCTTTTTTTATTGGTAATCCACTCAGCACATTTTCTCTAATTCATTTTATAAGAACTATGAACTTTATTTTATTTAATTAACAATGTGGCATTTGCAAGCAAACTGTCATAAGTGGTTTTCATCTTTTTCTTATTTGGATACAATATTCATACACTTGAAATTAAAGCCCAAACAAATTTATTTATTTTTTCCAAAAAGCCCATAAGGGCATAATTGCTTTCCACCTAAGTAATTAGTCTTATTACCAAGTACTCCTAGGTAGAAAATTATAATAATTTCATCAACTTTGAAAATATAAATCCATTAAATGATGCCTAGGAAGCAATAATGTACCTTTAAGTAAAGGAAGAAATTTATTTGATTATTTCCTGAATATGTTGATTTCTTCCTTTACTAAAAAAAAAAGTAAAGGAATAAATCAACATAATCAGGAAATAATCAAATAAATCAAAATAAAATGGAAACAGATCAAAGAGATAATCAAAACATTTAAGTCATTAGGTGTAATTTTTCTTTAATAAAAAAGAAAAGAAAAAAGAAGTCACTAGGTGTAATCCAATCCAACCACCATCACCACCATGTCCACACCGCATACGCGGAACTTAGCTGGAGGTTTTGGCTACTTAATTTTTTCTAACTTGCTTATTCTTGGTGGTCGAATTTGACCGGAGGTTTTGAATACTTAATTTTTTTTTATCAGTGAATTATTTATTTATTTACTTCAATTTTCATAATTATATAAATCTCCAAAACCTCCAGTTAAATTTCATAATTAGAATATGAGATTACATGAACCAAATCACAATAATGTAGGTTTTTAAACAATTAGAATATGATATTATGAATACAATAATTAATCTTATATTCTACTCAAATTGTTTAGAAACTTACATTATTGTGATTTAATTGGTTCATGTTATCAATTGATCTTTATTTTTACTTATGGTAGAAAATCACCCATCTTTTTTTTTATTTTTATTTTAGTAGGAAATCAACTTAATTTTTTTGGATGAAACCAATCCTATCATGATTATAACACTTAAAAATGATTCATTTAAAATGAAAAAATAATAATTAAAATAATGAACAGTTGCATTGTATCTACTCTGGCATGAATCACAAATTATTTTATCTTCCAAATTTGTAGATATTAATCCAATACATTTCACAACATGGAACCTCTTCATTTTCCTTTCTTTGTTAATTTCTTTCATACTCACACCTTTTCATGTATGTATAAACTCTTTGATACAAAATATATTTATTTTTCATACTAAAATATACAATTAAAAAGAAAAATAGAGCACTAAATTAAAAATTGAAAAATGGCCTCTTCCTCCTCTTCATCACCCCCCTCTGTCCTTGATACAACCATCACCCAAGAAGAGTACTTTGCCTTTCACAACATCGACCGCCATCTCTTTGCTAGGCTAGTCTTCGACATGGGCCGTGAGCCAGTGGAAGCCATGCATGCCACCGCCTTTTGGATGTGGCTAGAGCGGCTTAACATGGCTCAATACATAGCCAACATCGTTAAGTATCATGATAATGTTTTTAAGGCCATTTTCGAGGAGACTTTTATGTGTCTTAAGGTTATAGAGTCGGACACTTTATTGGTTCCCTCCAATGATATTCCTACGATTAAAAGCATTGTAGGGAATAATACTAGGGAAGTGATTGACCTTAACTTTTTTCATGAGAATCGTGTTAGCATTCTTCTTGGTGTTGGTCATTTTGTTGAGCATACTTGTACTAGGGCTTTTCGAGACATTATGCAAATTGCTTTAGCAGCTAGGCCTAAAATCGCGGTTAATCAAAACAATCAAAGTGTCCCTAAGGCCCCCGAACTTGGTGTTCGTGGTAGGCCTAACCCCGGTGTCATTGGTGGTAGTAAAAGTGGTGGTGTTAGTCCAACTCCGACTCCAACCCCTCGCCCCGCTTTGCCTCCCGGAAACTTGGCTCCCTATCCTAATATTATTAGGGTCGGGGAATTGAATGTGCCCTTACAAGGTGATCATCAATATAATGTGGTGAATCATAATTCATTTTTTCATGGGGTTGGTGCTCGTCCTTCAAATTATGGTTTAGAGGCTCAACCACAAGTCCTACAAGAGGATTTTGTGGAACAATTACTTGCGCAATTGCAATTGAGTGAACGATCTCTAGTTCATAATGTTGATGAGAAGCCAAATCTTCTTCCAAGTGAAAGGACAATCTTTTTAACATTTTCCAAAGGATATCCTATCCTTGAAAATGAATTGCGCGAGTTTATTAATAGGTATTTTTCATTCTTCCTTTGTTCGAGTAATTAATTTTTGCGTGTTAATATAGTTTATAATAAACAATTATTGTTTGTATGTTGCTTTTGTTTTGAAATTGGAGTTTGATCCTAGAAAACTTGACAATTATTTTGTGTCCCAATACCCGTTGTATTTGTACTAATTAAATTAGTTGTAATATTAGGACATAAAATTTATGTATGCATCCGATATATAAATGGGATTGAGCAGATTTTTTAATAGGTGCTGTAATATTTTGTTGTGTCATTTGATTTTGTTATATTGTACTGTAGTATTTGTATGTGATTAATAATTTTTTTTATTTTATTTTGAAGACATGTGTCCTTTAATATATCTTGTTTGTCTAATCAATTGCCATTTCTTCTTTGAGTTGATTTTAATCAGATTTGCGTGAAATTTTGATTAGGTGTTATTTACCGTGTACCGCTCATTAATACTTGCACTAAATAAAATATTACTCCGTTTTGTAACTTGATTTGCGCATGTTTTCAAGAGTGTAATTTTGCCTTTTGCCTTGACTATTATATGTTGATTTGAGTATTTGACTAATTAATTTTCATATTTTTCAATGACCATTGACATTTTAAGGTCTTTTGGAGACATAATTGAGACACTAAAAATGCAAGAAGTTGGTGAAAAGGAACAACCTCTTTATGCGAGGCTGGTGGTGCGCGATGCAAAGACAATGGACATAGTTCTTAGTGAGCAGGGCAGATCAAAGTTCTCCATCAACGGAAAGCATGTTTGGGCGAGGAAGTATGTAAGCAAGAATCCTCACTCACCACCGTCCTCACCGACTACTCAGTCTAAGTAGCTTCATTAGCTTTCGATACAAGGATATGCTGAAACCTTAATAATTGCTTATCTTCGATCTGTAGCAATTAGTATCAAAGATTGTCTCTGTACTCTCTTGTTTGATGAACCGCAAATTACATTTTCTGTATGAATATCCTCTTTTGAGTAGATTATTATGTTTTAGAGCTGCACTATGTGGACTTGCAGGGTCTATATGATGCTACAAGTTTGAATTTTGAGCAATATATTACTCAAAAATGCAAAGTATAAATTCTTTGCAAAAGAAGGCAAGGAGCGAAATCTTAGCAGGTGTAAAGCTGCTTAGAGAGATTACATTTGAGATGTAGACATACATATGCAGGAGGGAAGACTGAAGCGGGCAACAATATCAACTCCGAATGACAATCGAACAATGTTTGAAATGCTTTTTTTTTTTTTTTTTTTTTTTTTTTTTTTTGGCTTTTTACATCAAGGGCTACACACAAGATAATTATAAAGTAGATCGCCAAAGGACATGAGAAACATCATCAAATGATAATTAGAGACAAATCGTGATTCTTCCAAATACAAGCACAATTTGTCAGCCAAACACAAACCTTAAATTAACAATATAAAGGGTGAAAAATAAACTAAAATTTAACTGTTTAGAAGAGAGAAAATAAGCTAGAGGTAGCACACTACTTGAACTTGAGTCCAAGAACCATACAAGGCAAGGAAAATATAGGCTTGCCACCCCTTCGACAAAACAGAAACCAGAGATTCCAAGGGTCGCCTGCATAAAGAAGAAGTGGGACGGGTTATTTTTGGAGCTATAAATGTATATGAGCTTCAAAACAATAGTGAGAGAATGGAAATGCAAAGTTATGCTCTACAAGTAAATGTCTTCCTACATTTACAACATTACATGGCTATGCTTTCATGAGCAGGTTAATCATTTAGGTGCGCAAAATCATAATCTTAGTTTCGGAAACAATAATGACTGTGAAATGGGCAGAAACTCGAGAAAAGACCACTTAAGGCAAAGTTAATTTTGCCTTGAAAAAATGTTCTGTGTTACTGACACTATCATACTACCGATGGAAGCTTATTGGTCACTGTTTAGACGAATGCAAGTTTATCAATAAGCTAGATAATTCGGCAAGAAACAACGACGTTAAGAGACCCTTTTCTTTGCCAAAATTATAAATGAAGTCTCAAATAATGAGACTGGTCTTACTGACCTGAGGCTGTCTTTGGACTGCACCCTGCCACAACATAATATACACATTAAACAGAACACCTTAGCATAAGTTAGCATAAGGATTTGATTATCGTAACAAAGGCCATCCAAGCAAATGAAACAGTCATTTTCTCTTTAACCTTGCTATACATAATTACATACACAGTTACACACTCCTTTTTGCATTAAGGGTCTAATGTTCTCCATAATACTTGTCGCTCCATAACACCATTGAAGAATAATTTCTCAATATTATTTCATTGATCACTACAGAATACCAATGTAATGACTATTACGGAGTACATCTTTGATCCATGTCCACTAATGGCAATAACCTTAAAGGCTTGTATTTTGAAGAGAACATACTCCCAAAATCAATCTATTCCAACAACTCCCAAGGATATCATATGGGAGTTGGGACACAAGCAATAAACTCTGTGCAATTGTTGTCCTCTAGAACCCAGAACAATTGTTTAGCCTCTTGCTTCTACATCCCACAAAAACATGTCCAAGTTACAACATATCCAGTTCCATCCTTATTTTTATCATTGATTGAATGCCCACCTGGCTGGATTCACATTCTTAACCTCAAAATTCTAAATCTCTCGGAATAAACAGAGAATTTGTCATCTAACTCATGGAAGTTTAGCCATTCAAAAGTCTTACATGTGAAAAACCACCACAAAGATGATTTAGGCAATACACAAACTTCCCTAAAACTATATTTATAAAAACTTACTATGTAAGATAGGATTCTCAAAGGCTCACTCTCAAAGAAAGGGATCATGATTCAAACTTGAAAGCTGATTGCTGAAAGTGACACCATAGCTTAACAGACTTGTGTGGGAATGTTCCACAACAAGAGAGGGATGAAGCAAACTCAGACATACTTACAGTCTCAACAGCTTAATCTTCTTTTGACCCATTGACCATTTGTTATCTACAATCTAACACCCCCAATTATCTGATTAATGAGAAGAGGGGAAGTAGCAAAGACATGTACTTCATGAAAACCAATAGGCATAATAATATCAGACAACACTTGACCTTCTCTACAGACAACATTAAGATGGCAAGCTTTAATGGCTTGCTTGACATTTGGTTATATACAGCTCTTAGAAAGATTCCATAATAGCCTAATAGGACTAACTAAAGCCACTTGCTCTTTCTTCCCTAGCAATTCAGCCACTCGCTCAATCGCTCTCTCTTCCCAATTGTATCCGAACACCAATTATACTTAAGCAAACAGTATCTAAGGCTCTAAGCTTCGGTGAAAAAGGCTCCATCACCCTGAGTCCCTGAACAATGATCATAACCTAATTCTCAGATATAGTGACATCTCCTTCTTCATGTAATATCTCCTACAGATTTAACACCCCATAATCCGCTCTTACATGCAATAACAATGCATTTTTAACAAACTTTTCAAAGTCAATTCATCATTGAACCCCAACAATACACCAACCCAGAACCTAAAAGATACCTATAAGGCTATAATACATAATACCCACAGTTTTTTATACTTTATTTCAGTTTTCCACCACCATTTCATGGATAACAAGCACAGCCCAACAATCTACATTCAGCAATTATACTCCAACAACGAAATTTCAAAAAATCAAGAACATAATCAATACACCCTATAAGAGGTTCCCATCATCCACAAATCAAAATAGAAACAAATAACAAAATCATACAAAACAAATAAACAGATCAAAAACTACAGAATCAAGCATCACCCAACACCACAAATCACAAAACCCTAAAATTAATATCCAAATACATATGAATAAAAACAAAATTGCAAAACCCAATTGGAATTTTTTTATTTAAATTCAAAAAATCTTACCAATGAGAGAGAAAGAGCTCATTTAGCAACCATCCTAGCGATGAAATCCTCATACTTAATTCGACCATCAGATCCAACCTCAACCTCACGAATCCATTCATCAAACTCAGCAGGCTCAAGTTTTTCACCAATACTAGTAAGAATATGCCTCAGATCCGAAACAGCAACAAACCCAGTTCCCTCCTTATCAAGCACTTTGAATGCATCCCTAAGTTGACGATCAAAAGGTTCAGGTTTGAGGTATTTAGACATTAGATCTAAGAACCTGTTGAAATCAAAAGCTGCTGTTAATTTTTCCTGGGAAATGATTTCTTTGAGCTGGGCTTGTGTTGGATTTCCACCCAATGAACGCATCAGAATTCCGAGCTCAGATGGTGCGATTTTGCCATCGTTGTCTGTGTCGAAAAGGGTGAATGCTTCTTTCATGGAACTTACTTGATCATCGCTCAAATCTTTGCCCATTTTTTTCTGGGTTTGATTGATTTTTTGTGGGGTGGAAAACTGGGATTTTGATGAAGATGGTGGGGGAATGTTTGTGTTTGTGAGATGGAGAAGTGGAGATGTTGAGGAAAAGGAGAGGCTTTTTGCTGTTTTCTCTCTCCTCGAAAATTTGCGTCTTTTGAGGTTTGAATGAATGGGGCACTGTTTTTTTTTAATTTTTTTTGGTAATAAAGTAAACAATCACATATTCAAATTTTCAATTTTTTCAATCCAAAAAAATTATAAATAAAAATACTGTAGCATATACACCTCACATTCGTATGTATTATCGAAGTAATTATAATTTAAAAATTGATTAATTAAAGATTGAAATATATTATTCATGTCAAAAAAAAAAAAATACATTATCAAAAGCAATATCAATTCAAATTTAAACACGTTATGCATATATGTATAAATATTGTGTGATGTTTAACAAAATTTTTAATGGGAACCATTTTGTTTTATTGTAGCTCACTATTATCTCAATATATTAAATTCAACCCACAATTTCAATTATCTCCTCAATTGTAACAAGTTAGCGACAAATTTTTCCTATATAGTGACATTTCAGCACATAATATAGAGTTGGGCATGAGTCAGGCCGACATAAAAGTTATTGACATAAGGCATTAAAATGGCTTGATGTGATATGTGTCTGCCACAAACCCACAATATCACTATATGCACACAAAACGGTAAGTGCGTGGATTTGAAAAATATCTCAAATCCTCCAAAACTCTAACTCTTTTGTTTTTGCTGGAATACTAATAACTTTGGTAATTTGGCTAAGCAACACTAAATTTTTTTTTTTTTAAACACCCTTTTTCTTTTGAGACATTTTTCTAAGAAGTACACTCTCAATACTAATGAAGCAAACGTACATCATATATAAGACATAAAACACCTTATCCAGACACAAACAAACACACACACACACACAAACACCTTTATTTGCAACAATAAGTGGCAATTTGGTTTGCCTTACGACCAAGGCAATGCAACACAATTACACAAGGTTAGATCAAGGAAATGCATCGTTAGAAAAGGATAACAAAGTGGGTGATGGCATGAATGAAATAGTTTTGGTCATCAAGTAGGCTTGCCCAAGGTTTTGAGTTCTTATGAGAATCTAATGAAACACGTTATGTCTGCCTAACTTGTCAGGTTCATAAAATATTATTTGAATGCAAAGGCTATAACACACACAAAAATGGACCAATTTAAGAGATTTTGAAACTAATGTTGAAAACTCAAATGATGCATCTCGGGGTTATTAATGCTATTTGCAATCATATACAACTACTTCCACTAGTCGATTGCAGTGGTCAATCTTGAGTTAATGAAGAAAGATGCATATGTAATTGACTAAATTAATAGTAGTGTAAAGGCAAAGTTGATGATTCGAACCACTCAAGGTATCATGTGGTCCATGGAAAACACCTTGTCTTCTTTTCTGTACAAGTTCAGAAAAATAAAAAATAAAAACCATAAAAAGAGAAGGCTATAAATCATCTTAACTTTCAGTGTACAAATTTGCCGATTAATCTTCTTAGGCACACCTATTTTATTTTTAAATTTCCGCGATCCTGAAACATGTATTTTCGACCCGAAAAAATGTGCTAGGTTAGATCTAACCTCGTGGGTTTTAGAAAAAACATTTTCAATTCGAATCTTAATGGATGTGTTTTTACCCTCGGCCCTGCCCGCCTCACCCTTTGATCGTCTCTAAACAAAATGAGATACTCCATAGTGTAAAAATTCTAAATGACGCATTTGTCCAGTAACGAGGCAGCCCGACACAACTTTAACTTAACCATTTCGGGGGTATTTAGGTCAATTAAAGTCCCTCTTTGTCAATCAAACAAAGCCCTTTTCCTTCTTCCTTCTCCCTCCTCCCAAAGCCAAGACCAACTGTTAAACTCCTAAAACCCTAGTTAAATCACTCTCTCTGAACACAAACTCCTTAATTCAGAGCTCTCAAAAATGGCGTTAGGGCTTCAAATCTTCACCGAAAGAGCCAACGATGAAGCAGGTCAACCAATTCTCGACTCCGACAATGGCGAAGTGCTTATGCACATTCAACCTTCCGTCTCCATTGTCCTCGGAACTCGCTCCCCTGAATCACCTGGCACTCTTTACATTTCCTCCAAGTATTTTCTCTCTCCTCCACCTTTTTTCCCCCTTTTTGTTTTTCTTGTGATTGCAAATGTTTAATTTTTATTTGTGTTTTGTAATTGTAGGAAAGTAATATTGTTGAGCGATGTTGATAGAAGCAAAGGTTATGCTGTGGATTTCGTTTCGATTTCGCTTCATGCTGTTTCTAGAGACCCTCAAGCTTATCCTTCTCCTTGCATTTACACCCAGGTTTTTTTTTTTTTTTTTTTTTTTTTTGCTTTTTATTTTGTTGGGTTGAATTTTATGTTCCTTGTTGTTTTTCTTGCTTTGCTTAATTCCAGAAGTTGGATTTATGTGTTAATTGAGCATATTTAGAATGTTATTGGTTGATAATTGTTGAGTAGTACTGTAGTAGTAGTATTAATTGAATCGAGATGATTAATTAGGATTTTCTGCTGAACAGAGAAACGCCATTTGATAATGGAAAATGGTCTTGAAAGAATAAAAATCTTAGTTTTGGAGGAAATAACCATTCAGGGCTTGCGGATAAAGGATATTATGCACTTTTGGTTGTTGGTATGAGAAAATCGAGTTGGTGATAAGCTGTAAAGGCTTTGTTGTTCTAGTTTAGGTGATGACTTGATTCTCTTGTACCCTATCCTAATGGTTTGGGAAAGGGAATTTGTGATTTTACCAAATAGTCGTGAGCGTTCATTTCCCAAACGTTGTCTTCACTGAAACACTAAACTATCAGATGAATACCAGCTTCCCTTGTGAACTCGTGGTTGGAGAATGAAACCTATGAAGTCCAGGTGTCCAGGGATCAAGCATTGGTAACAATGTCTCTTTCCTTTGCTAAACTATCAGAATAATGTTTTGAAGTATGAGGACTAGTTTAGTTTCCCTGTGATTTTTTGCTTAAAGACATAATTTTCTATTGAGGCAGATGATTATTACTTTGGAATCATGTATCTGAGCTAGCTTTCTGATTTTGAGTTGTGATTGTCAATCTCAACTATAGATTGAAACTGGAGATGATGAAGATGAAGACGAAGACGAAGATGAAGATGAAGAGCAACAGGAAACTGTTGATTGGTCTTCTGGAATATCAAAGGTCAAAGAAATGAGGCTTGTTCCATCAGATCCTACTCAATGTATGTTTCTTTATTTTCTTTTGGGTGATTTCATAAATTCATACTCCTCCCTGATATTCTAATATGATGCTGATACGTTCGGTTTATGTTTGATAGTGGAAACTTTGTTTGAGGTGTTCTGTGAATGTGCCGAATTGAATCCTGAACCCATGCTAGGTAAGCAACTTCTAAATGCAAATTGAAGATAACTTTGCTTTATCAATCTTGATTCTTGTCTTTTGAGCTTGATTCTTATTCTACGTTCAGGTGGAGATGAAGAGGAGCACAATTGGATCTTCAGTGCAGACCAGTTAAATGCTGAGACATTAGGTAACTGTCTATTATCACTAGCAGATTTAGCACCCTTTAGCTAGTGGAGTGCTGTGTTTTTGAAATAAAGTAATAATGGACATACAACATATGTATGGTGAAAGACCTTTTCCACAGCTCTAGTCCACCGCTCCATCTTGTGTTATTTATCATCAACATAGCAATACAAATAGCCTCACGTGAAGAGCTGTCCATAAATTTCTGCATGTTTGAGAACTTTCTAATTGCCCCTTACAGCTAGCTCACTAATTATTTCACAATGCTCTCTCTTGAGCAAGCCACTTTCATTGGTGGCCCCTACATTCTGTGCACACAAAGATAAATAACTCTTAACCTAAAAGCTAAAACCCTAATAAATAGGAGGACAAGAATGACAATTAATCTAATTCTAATAGAACTGGGAGCATAACAGTACTAGAACTCTTAGGATACTCAATTAATTAGAAAACAAAATTTCAATTACACCTAACATCTACCTTCCAAATCACAATTAAGTGATAATACAAGAACAAGACAAGAAAGATATCCCTGTATTATATCACCTAGACTCAAGGCCCTAGAAAAATTGTCAGATACAAATACCTTACTCCTGGACAGGGCCTATATATGATCTGTATGGAAAGATGCTCCTAATTAAGGATAAGTTCCAGCCCTCAAGCCCCTTTCTGTCCGGGCCCCTTTAGGCCACCTGTTTTGGGGGATGCTCTCCTATGTTTCCTGTCTCCAGGTTCCCTTTACCATACATATTGGGCTAATTCGTACTGATATCATGATTTGTGTTCTACTACAGGAGGAGATGCTTCTAACTGGACTTTCTCAGAGAATCTTATTGATTCAATAGGTCATTCAAATGGCGATCATGACTTGGCACAAAATGTACTTCAGGTAGATTATACAAATGTTAATGCTTTCCTGTATAATTTATATATGATCTCAAACTTTATTGCCCTTATGAGCAAAAGAGCTTTATTAAAACATCTTTCCAGCTTTCTTTGTCAATATTAAAATTTCAAGCCCTTGGATAGTCTGAGAAGGTCTCACGTATACTGTCCTAATGTGGACATCATATTTTAAGCTAAATAATGAACTTGATACCATTAGGAAGAGTTTGAGATCAAACAAACTGAGTAACCAATCATATATGTTAAGAATCTGTCAAGTGGAGCTAAGTCCCTACTAGCATTTCCCTTAATCCCTGGTATGCTGCAATTTCAAACAAACAGGGTCTTTTAAAGTTTCTTGGATGTTGTGATCTGGGTTTGTTGTCAATCTTTTCTTGGGTGGAACATTTTTTTGGTTGTAATTCTGGTTATGTCGATAAATACTTTCTGGTCTTAAGGATAGGCATTGGGAGCAATTGAGTGTATTTTAAACTTGTACAGGAGTAGTTGTGTGAAGTTGGTGGGGACTACTTTCTCTATTATTCCATAGCCACATAGGACTATGAAGCTTCCATTGTTTTTTTTTTTCTTCCTCTTTTCAGTTGTAGGTATAAACATGTAGGCTATGTAGTAACCTGTAGCTATATTGAGGAGTGTCGATGTTTAGCTTTTTCACATACGATTAAGATGGGAAGTTTTGGCCCTGCCCTACTCTCTT